TTTTTTTTTTTTTTTTTTTTTTTTTTTTTTTTTTTTTTTTTTTTTTTTTTTTTTTTTTTTTTTTTTTGTTGTTAAAATAAGTTAAAAATTGATAAGACGAACTAAAGTGAATGTGTTTATAACTTGATAACTCGTGATATGTAAAATTGATTAGGTAAATAGTTTTAAAGTTTGAGATCAAATAAATGATAATATCTATCCTAATCTTTTATATAATTATAAATAATATATGGTATGTTTTTAATATTTTACGCACAAATTAGTAATATCAATTGCTACTTGATATTTTTATTTGGAAGAATTTCAAGGTAGACATTTTTTTAAACCAATTTTAAAGTTTATGAATATTTTTTGAAATAAAATTTAAAAGTTCAACGAAATTTAGTTAATTTTTTAGTCAATACGGTACGTTCTAACATATAATAGTTCCGAATCGAATCTTTTTAGAAAGAAGATCTTTTGTTTGTGTTATGGTAGTATGCTTCAGTTCTCTTACGAAACTTTCGTTAGAATCTCTTTAGAAAGAAGATCTTTTGTTTGTGTCATGGTAGCCTGCTCCCGTTCCCTTACGAAACTTTCGTTATTGGGTTAGCCATACAGTTCACATGTTTATAGCGATTCACATGGCATCATCAAATGATACAAGTCTTGGATAAGAATCTACAACGCACTAGAACGCCCTTATTAACGATCCTTTCCTCCGACAGCATCTAAAATCCTAGATACCACTCCAAGTATATCTTAAGTTGTTGAGCGTAAAAAAAAAAAATAATAATAATAATAAAAAGATATTTTTTTTTTGTCAAATTACTCATTCTGTAAAACCTTTGAAATAAAAAAATGACTCCTCAGTTCCCTCGCTATATCCTTTCTCTATGCATCTGATAATCACCACTGTTGCGCTTTGACCCGCATCATCCCGTCTCGATGAACCAATTCTTAAATCAACTCCACCAGCAATCCAAGAAGTTGAATTTCGCCGTTTCTGCTCTCTCCGAGTGACTTAATTTTCTTCTATTCATCTCGCAAAAATGTTCGTGAAGCTGCAGTATTTGGATACGCCCTGCTTCCCTGGCCTGAGTTCCACCCTCAGGTCATCCACCGTCGGAGTCTCAATTTCTCCCCCTGATAATCTCGTCCCCATTTCCAGGAAGCCCAAACACAGCTGGATTTCTGAATGTCCGAACAGAGACTCAAAGAACGTCGGTGGAGTTAAAAAATACACTAATGATAATGGTGGTCGCCGGCAGGAAACTCGCCTGAAAAAAGCGAGTAAAACGGAGGAACGAGAACCCCACATAAGAAATCGCCATTTGGGTAATAGGGTTGTGAAAAAGGATGAATGGGAAGATGGAAATGGGTCGGTGGAAAGAGTGCACCCCAAGTGTTCGACGAAATGCCTATCGTATGGTGGATGCATACCAGCGATTTTGCAAGCGTTGGATGAAGTCAGTGACTTGGATGAAGCACTGAAGCCTTGGAAAGATAAGCTCAATAGCAAGGAAAGGAGTATAATTCTGAAAGAGCAGACGAGTTGGGAGAGGGCTTTGGAGATTTTCGAGTGGTTTAAAATGACAGGTAGTTATGAAGTTAATGTGATTCACTATAATATTGTTCTTCGGATTCTTGGGAAGGCCCAGAAATGGAGACTAGTTGAGAGTTTGTGGGCAGAGATGAACAAAAGGGGTATTAATCCGATAAATTCGACTTATGGAACGTTGATCGATGTCTACGGGAAAGGAGGCTTTACAGAAGAGGCGTTGGCATGGCTTGAGAGGATGAACGAACAGAGAATGGAACCAGATGAGGTTACCATGGGAATCGTTGTTCAATTGTATAAGAAAGCCGGTGAGTTTCAGAAGGCTGAAAGTTTCTTCAAGAAGTGGTCATCAAGAAACTCAACAAAATGTGAGATTACCAACCAGAACAAGGTAGCTTCTGCTGAAGTTGAGAATTCTCTGCACCCTCATGTTAGTTTGAGTACCTATACATATAATACATTGATTGACACATATGGGAAGGCTGGACAGCTACAAGAAGCCTCAACGACTTTCGAAAACATGCTCAACGAAGGAGTTGCGCCGACGACTGTGACGTTCAATACTATGATTCACATTTGTGGCAACCATGGCAAGTTGAAAGAAGTGACATTGCTAATGCAGAAGATGGAGGAGCTTCAATGCCCACCAGATACAAGAACATACAATATCCTCATTTCTCTTCATGCTAAGCATGATAACATTGACTTGGCTTCAAATTATTTTGCAGAGATGAAGGAGGCTTGTCTTCAGCCGGATATAGTGAGCTACCGTACTCTTTTGTATGCTTATTCTATCAGGCAGATGGTTGTGGAGGCTGAACAACTCGTAGCCGAAATGGATGAAAGGGGACTTGAGATCGACGAATTCACCCAATCGGCACTGACCCGTATGTACATCGATGCAGGAATGCTCGAAAAGTCATGGTCGTGGTTCTGGAGATTTCATCTTACAGGGCGTATGAGCTCCGAGTGTTATTCGGCTAATATTGATGCATTTGGAGAGCGTGGATGCATTGTAGAAGCAGAGAGAGTTTTTATCAGCTGCCAAGAAGAGAAGAAGCTCACAGTCCTTGAGTATAATGTGATGATTAAAGCCTATGGTGTGGTAAAGGATTATGTCAAAGCACAAAAATCATTTGATAGTATGGAGAGTAATGGCGTCACTCCTGATAAATGTAGCTATAGTTCTCTGATACAGATATTGTGTGGTGCTGACATGCCGGCCATGGCACTCTCTTATCTGAGGAAGATGCAGTCAGCTGGATTGGTAAGTGATTGCATTCCATATTCGGTGGTTATATCGAGCTTTTCGAAACTCGGTTATTTGGAAAAGGCGGACGAACTTTATAGAGAGATGACCGAACATGGTATGCAGCCTGA